CTAAGCTAATTTTTGTATTTTTAGTAGAGACGAGGTTTCACCATGTTGGCTGGGCTGGTCTCGAACTCGTGACCTTGGGTAATCCTCTTGCCTCGGCCTCCCAAAGTGCTGGGATGACAGGCATGAGCCACGTATGTAGCCTGGACCCGTTTCTTGATCAACATTTTGGCCAATAAAGTCTCTGAGACTTCCAGAAGTGAAACACAAATCTCACAATGGGCTTTGTGTGGAATCTAAATGTTTCTTCCTAACGGGTGGGGCACTTCTGCTTTTCCTGGGAGAGATGAAAGCATCCCACGATGGTGCAGATCAGAGCGTGTGTGGTCCCAGGGGACATTTCCATCCTTCTGTAGAGCTCCCTATTTCTGGTCCTTCAGGAGAATCTGGAGAAACAGGCTGAGGTGGCTGATGGACTCCTCCCCAGCAAAGCATCTGCCCTCACTAAATGTGAGCGGAGCCCTTGCTGTGTGCCACACGCCACAGCCCCAGGCGACAACTGGGCTCATGCGGCTGTCCTGCATTCAGAGGTGTCGGGGAGGAGACGGCTGGTGAAGAGATGCACAGTGGATCCTGGGCGGTGCCAGGAAGCAAAAGAAAGCAGGACCAGGAGACAGAGGGGGACAAGTGTCAGGCCACAGGGGCTCCGGGAGGCTCGTTCAGGGTGTCACTGAAGTAGCCACCCGCAGGCAGCAGGGAGGGGAGCCCTAGACAAGGGGAGAGGGGGTTGGAGCAGGAGATGGCATGGTTAGGGCTGTACTTTGGGAGGACCCCTCTGTGGCTGCCAGGAGGACACAGATGCTGGTGGGGAGGGAGGAGGGGGAGGGGCTAGGTGGTGTGCAGCAAGGGCTGTGCGGCCGCGGCCAGGCTCTGCTGTGCCCCAGCTCCTGCATCGAACCCTCCACACGTGCTCACTTTGGCCCATCCATCGGTGCTCAGTGCAGCCTGGATAGCACTGCCTGTTGTTCTGGATTTTTCACAGCCACTTATGGGGATGTGGGGACAGGAGTACTGCCACAGTCATAGTGTTCGTTGGGTGTCTGTAGTCGTAGTGTTTGAGTGTCCATAGTCATGGTTTTCATCGAGTGTCACAGTCATGGTGTTCATTGAGTGTCACAGTGTTCGAGTGTCACACAGTGTTTGTCAAGTGTCACAGTCACGGTGTCCATCGAGTGTCACAGTCATGGTGTTCAGCGAGTGTCACAGTCATGGTGTTCACCGAGTGCCACAGTCACGATGTTTACTGAGTGTCACAGTCACGGTGTTCTCTGAGTGTCTATAGTCATGGTGTTCACTGAGTGTCACAGTGTTCGAGTGTCACACAGTGTTCACCGAGTGTCACAGTCATGGTGTTCACCGAGTGTCACAGTCATGGTGTTCACCGAGTGCCACAGTCATGATGTTTACTGAGTGTCACAGTCACAGTGTTCACCGAGTGTCTATAGTCATGGTGTTCACTGAGTTTCACAGTCATGGTGTTCATCAAGTGTCACAGTCACGATGTTTACTGAGTGTCACAGTCACGGTGTTCATCTAGTGTCTATAGTCATGGTGTTCACTGAATTTCACAGTTATGATGTTTACCAAGTGTCACAGTCACGGTATTCACCAAGTTTCACAGTCATGGTGTTCACTGAGTGTCACAGTCATGACGTTTACTGAGTGTCACAGTCATGATGTTCATCTAGTGTCACAGTCATGGTGTTCAACGAGTGTCACAGTCACGGTGTTCTCTGAGTGTCTATAGTCACGGTGTTCACCGAGTTTCACAGTCACAGTGTTCATCTATTGTCTATAGTCATGGTGTTCACTGAGTTTCACAGTCATAGCATTCATTGAGTTTCACAGTAACAGTGTTCACTGAGTGTGGTCATGGTGTTCACTGAGTGTCTATAGTCATGGTGTTCACTGAGTTTCACAGCCATGGTGTTCACTGAGTTTCACAGTCATGGTGTTCACCGAGTGTCACAGTCACGGTGTTCACCGAGTGTCACAGTCACGGTGTTCGAGTTTCACAGTCACGGTGTTCTCTGAGTGTCTATAGTCATGGTGTTCACTGAGTGTCACAATCATGGTGTTCATCAAGTGTCCATAGTTACAGTGTCTGTCGAGTGTCAATCATGGTGCTTGTCGAGTTTCACAGTCACGGTGTTCATAGTGTGTCCATAGTTACAGTGTTTGTCAAGTGTCAACAGTTTCCATCAAGTATCACAGTCACAGTGTCCATCTAGTGTCACAGTCACGGTGTCCGAGTGTCACAGTCACAGTGTTCATTGAGTGTCACAGTCACGATGTTCACCGAGTGTTACAGTGTCCATCGAGTGTTTACAGTCATGGTGTTCATGAATGTGTAGCTTGTGGCTCAGGATAAGTGTGTGAAAATTCCAGAGGAATGAATGCTTGAACCCAGGAGACAGAGGTTGTAGTTAGCCGAGATCATGCCACTGCATTCCAGCCTGGGTGACAGAGTCAGGCTCTGACTCAAAAAATAAAAAAAGGTGTATCTCATGAGATTTTCCTGTGCCGCAGAAAATGTCTCCTTGTCCCTGGCCCAGACCCTCTGGATGACTCACCTGGCTGGCAGGGGTCGACAGCAGGGCCCAGTTGGTGGCTGGGTGGTGTGGAGTCTCTGCCTTCTAATCCATTTTCCCCAAAATGACCCTCACAACTTGCTCCTTCCCTATGGGGTAGGAGGTTCACTTTTTAATATATATCCATAGTGGTATTGGGCTGTAATCTTTACTGCTACTTCTCCCTGGCAAATGGGCTTTTATTTATTTATTTATTTATTTTTGAGACAGAGTCTTGCTCTGTCGCCAGGCTGCAGTGCAGTGGCGCAATCTCGACTCACTGCAACCTCCGCCTCCTGGGTTCAAGCGACTCTTCCACCTCAGCCTCCCGAGTAGCTGGGATCACAGGAGCGTGCCACCACGCCTGGCTAATTTTTGTGTTTTTAGTAGAGACAGGGTTTCACCATGTTGGCCAGGATGGTCTTGATCTCTTGACCTTGTGATCCGTCCACCTCGGCCTCCCAAAGTGCTGGGATTACAGGCGTGAGCCACGCCCAGCCAAATGGGCTTTTCGACTCCAGAACTGTCTACTGGGTGGCTGATATTTAGCCGAGCACGGGACGCTGGGGTCATAAAGATCTGGGTCTGAACCCGCCCCTGCACTTGATGTGAGCCCCCCTCCTCCTTGGAGGTTTTCTCGTCTAGACCGTGGTTAGCGGTGGTACCACACCTCTGAAGAGTGAATGTGGCCACGTGGACAAGGGCCTCAGCACCGCGCAAACCCAACACAGATTCATTCTTTTTAGGGAAGAGTTTTTACTTTAGTGCTAACTAAAGTAATTATCTTAATAATCAGGTGGACTGACTTGTTGTGTTAAAAAAAAAATACAGTCAGAGCCTGGGCAGCATAGTGAGACCCCACCTCTGCCAAATTATTTTTTAAAATTAGCTGGGCATGATTGCACCCTTGTGCTCCCAGCTACTCAGAGGCTGAGGCAGGAGGATTGCCTGAGCTCAGGGAGTTGAGGCTGCAGTGAGCTGTGATCGTATCCCTCAGCCTGGGAGACAGAGTGAGACCCTGTCTCAAAAAAGACTTTTTTTTTGAGATGGAGTTTTGCTCTTGTTACCCAGGCTGGAGTGCAATGGTGCGATGTCAGCTCACCGCAACCTCCGCCTCCTGGGTTCAGGCAATTCTCCTGCCTCAGCCTCCTGAGTAGCTGGGATTACAGGCATGTGCCACCACGCCCAGCTAATTTTTTGTATTTTTAGTAGAGACGGGGTTTCACCATGTTGACCAGGATGGTCTTTATCTCTTGACCTCGTGATCCACCCGCCTCGGCCTCCCAAAGTGCTGGGATTACAGGCGTGAGCCACCACGCCTGGCTAAAAAAGACTTATTTTAAGAGAAAATACAGTTGGCCCTCCGTATTCATGGGCACTGCTTCCATGGAGTGAACCAATGACGGAAGATATTTGGAAAAAGAATGCATCTGTACTGAACACGTATGGGCTTTTTCCTTCTCATTATTCCCTAAACGATGCGATATAACAGCTGTTGACACCGTGCTGACATTGTATGAGGTAGGACAGGTAACCCAGAGGTGATCGGCAGTATGAGGGATGGTACATTTAGGTTATGTGCAGACGCCGTGCCGTTTCTGTCAGAGACTTGAGCCTCCATGGATTTCGGGATCTGAGGGGGTCCTGGAACTCATCCCTTCCAGATACCGAGGGGCAGCTGTATCGTTTTTTGTTTTGTTCCTTTTGAGACAGAGTCTTACTCTGTGGCTCAGGCTGGAGTGCACTGGTGAGGTCACAGCTCACTGCAGCCTCTACTTCCTGGGCTCAAGCCATCCTCCCACCTCAGCCTCCTGAGCAGCCGGCACTACAGGTTGTGCCCCATCACACTCGCTAATTTTTTTTTTTTTTTTAAATTTTAGTAGAGACAAGTTCTCACTATGTTGCCCAAGCTGGTCTCAAACTCCCGAACTCAAGCGATCCTCCCGCCTCAGCCTCCCAAGGTGCTGGGATTACAGGTGTGAGCCACCACACCTGGCCGGACACTGTACCGTTAAAGTTTAGTTTTCTTTGAAACGCCCTGATGTGGAGAAGAAGCCTGGCCACACAAGGAGATCATCTGTGAAGCAGAACGCAGATGGATTTGAGTCCCACCTTTGCCACTGACAGTGCCTCAGTTTCCTCGTCTGTAAACTGGGTACAATGATGGTCCCAGCATTAGTACAGCGTTGCCGTGAGATGGTGTTAATTTGGGGAAAGTGCTTCCGACCGTGCCCGGGCTCCTCGGAGCGTCTCCAGGAAGCAGGGCAGCTCAGGTCCAGTGGCGGCCAACATTGACACCGTCAACTCAGTGCACCTGAGAACTCGCTGTAACCCCGTGGGGCTTTTGTGTGTGTTTGTGGTTCTAGCGCTCAGCCTCTGACCCTTCCCCTGCCCACCGTGGGGGCCAGTTACACTGCACAGCCCACTCCCGGCATGCGCCCAGCCGCAAACCCCGCCTTTGCCCCAGCTGCTCTGGCGGGGTACAGCGGGCACCAGCCCCACTCCAGCCAGGACTTCCCCTACCACAGCCAACCCCAGGAGCCCATCCCTGCGGCCATCACTGTGGCGCCCTGCCAGGTACCCGGTCCTTTCTTTGACTAGCGTTGCCGGGAAACGTGGTAGCCTGGCGTGGGTGAGAGCGGTGGGCTCCCCGCAGCAACTCCTTCTCCCAGGCCTCTTGACCATGCTCCTTCCTTCGGGATGCGTCTGCTGGGATCATGTGCCTGCGGTGGGGAGACATCAGGACAGTAGCTCCCGAAACAGCCCGCTGCTCTCCCATGCGTGCCTCCACATCGGGACTGTGGGGACGGTGATGGCACCTAGGGCTTTGTCCCAGCCTCAGCAGTGACTCTGAAGGAGAGGAGGGTCTGCTGGGTTGGAGGACCCCTCCCTGGCCACGGCAGCTGGCCTCAGCCACCTGGCCCCAGAGAGACCAGGACTCCCCCCGCCTTCCCCACGCTCCGGGTTCCTGCCGTTCTAAGGGGGAGTCTGTGGTGTGTGGGGCACACCTGGTGCTGAACACCCCCTTTCCCAGTGGAGGTACTCAGGGCTGCAGACCCAGCCTCGGTGTTCCCACTTGGTGTCGCAAAAAAGTCCCCCGTGACCATGCTCCAACTCACAGCCCTGCCAGCCACGCCTCATCCCCAGATTGTGTGGGCCACTGGCACCAGAGGCCACCCAAGCTAAACACCCACCTGACCCCACCCTCTTCCTCCCATCTCCGTTTCCTCGCCAAGGCCTCAGGGGCTTCTCCCTGCAGGCCCACCGTCTCCTACCACACCCAGCGCCCTCTTGTAAATCGCAGTCAGACTCTTGGAAATGAGTGTTGGCTCCATAAGAGCTGCTGTGTCAGCCACACACCCTGCCCCCTGCCCCCTGCCCCCTGCCCCCGAGCCAGAGCCAGGGCCTGGTCCTGGGCAGATGCTTGGGATCCATCGTGTAGAGTCAGTGTAGCCAGGGCGGGTCGCACCTGGCATCTGAGCTGCTCTCACCGCTCTCTGTCTGTCTCCTGTGACAACCCGCCCACAGGACAATTACAGCTACCAACAGTCCGCGGCTTCCAGGAGCTACGAGGAAAGGCCATACTTCCAGCCTCCTGCTCCCCATCCTGGGCGCACGACAGCTGCAGCCTCCTGCAAGCCAGGTGAGCCATCTGCAGGGTGGGGCTGGGGCAAGGAGACATTGCTCACAGCACAGGAAAACCTCATGAAAGTACATCTTTTTTTTTTTTTTTTTTTTTTTTTTTTTTTTTGAGATGGAGCCTTGCTCTGTCGCCGAAGCTGGAGTGCAGTGGCGCAGTCTTAACTCACTGCAACCTCCGCCTCCCAGGACCAAGCAATTCTCCTGCCTCAGCCTCCCGAGTAGCTGGGATTACAGGCAAGCACCACCACACCCAGCTAATTTTTGTATTTTTAGTAGAGACAGGGTTTCACCATGTTGGCCAAGCTGATCTCAAACTCCTGACCTCAGGTGATCTCCCGCCTCAGCCTCCCAAAGTGCTGGGAATACAGGCGTGAGCCAGCTCGCCTGGTGAAAGTTACATCTTAACCATCCTAGAGGCTGGGCACGGTGGCTGACGCCTGTAATCCCACACTTTGGGAGGCTGAGGCGGGAGGATGGCTTGAGCCTAGGAGTTCGGGACCAGCCTGGGCAACGCAGTAAGACCCTATCTCTATAAAAAATGCAAAAAAAAAAAAAAATGAGCCAGGTCTGGTGGTATGCACCTATAATCGTGGCTACTCAGGAGGCTGAGGTAGGAGGAGGTTCGCCTGAGCCCAGGAGGTGGCTGAGCTGTGATCACACCGCTGCACTCCAGCCTGGGCAGCAGAGCGAGAGCCTGTCAACAAAACCAAACCAAACCAAATCTAACGTGGTAGGTTGGCAGGGAGCATCAGGGCTGGCTGCTCAGATACGCCCGGGGGCTCTGCCAGGGGTCGGCCTGACTGTGGGAGAGCGAGAACCGAAAATGCAGCAAACATTTTTTTCAAGGCAGCTTTCCCGGGGTGGCAGGCAGTGAGCTCTGTGTCCCAGATGAAGACACGCAGGAGCTTGTCCAGGGTGCCCACAGCCCTCCTCCCCGATAGCAGGAGGGAGAAGACAGACTCTGGAAAGGAGAGGTGGGCACAAGGTCACCTGCCAGTTGCTGCCGGGACCTGGCCCAAGGCTCCGGCCTCTGGTCCCGGCTTGAGTATCTATTGTGCTCCAGCCAGCTGAGCCCAGGGCCCATCTGCAGGTGGGGTTGGGGGCTGGCTCTGCAGAGGACCTGTGCCTGTCCCCTAGGGACCCAAGAGGCCTGCGGGCAGCCCGGCCCCCACGGCAGTCACAGCCACGCTCAGCCCCCACGACAGGCGCCCATGGTGGAGGCTGGGCAGCCAGCGAGCGCCTTATCCTCAGGCTACACCTGCCCCACGGAGACAGGCATCCAGCCCGAGGCCTCGGCATCCATCGTGACCTCCTACCCCCTGCCCTCCTACGATGCCACCTGCACCCCCTACACGGGTAAGACCAGCGTGCCTGTCGCCCCCGCATCACCTTCGGTGGTGGGATCAGCATCTCCCCTCTTCACTGATTGTTCTGTCTGCCCCTTAGGACCAAGCTGCCCAAGCTGTGACGCCTCGGTGTACTCCACCACAGCGCAGCCTGCGTCTCCCCCGGGAACCCCACAGCAGTTGCTCCTGCTGCCCACGCCTGTGGGCTCAGGAAGCAGCCCCAGAGCTGCCCCAAAGCCACCACTTCCCAGCAAGCTGCCAACACCCAAGGCAGGGCCCAGGCAGCTCCAGCTTCACTACTGCGACATCTGCAAGATCAGCTGCGCAGGCTCCCAGGTCAGCTGCCCCACCGCCTGGGCAGGGCTGGAGACCTCTCCGTCTCTCATGTCTGAACCCGAATGTGGGCACTGGGGGTCAGGGTTGCCACCTGCTAAGGAAGGTCTGGTGTTAAACATGCATGGTGTATGTGTGTGTGTGTGTGTGTGTGTGTGTGCAAGCGCTTGTGTGTGTTCATGTGTGTGCAAGCACTCATGTACAAATGAGAGTGCATATGTATGTGTTTATATGTGTGCCTGTGTGTGCAAGCATGCATGTGTGCATGTGTGTGTGCAAGTGAGAGTGCATGTGTGCATTTGCATGTGTGCATGTGTGCTAGCATGTGTGTGCATGTGTGCAAGCGAGTGCATGTGTATATGCATATGTGTGCATGTGTGTATGCATGTGTGTACACATGTGCATGTGTGTGCATGCATGTGTGCATATGCATGTACATGTGTACATGTATGAGTATACATGTGTGCATGCATGTGTGCATATGTGTGTACGTGCATGCCTGCATATGTGTATATGTATATGTGCGTGCATGTATGTGCACATGCATATATGTGTGTTTACACATGTGCGTGTGTACATGCATGTGTATATGTATATATGTGCATACATATGCATGTGTGTGTGTGCATCTTGCATGCATGTGTGTGTATGCATGTGTATATGTGTGCATGCATATATGTGTGTACGTGTATGCATGTGTGTGCATGCATGTGTAGATGTGTATATGTGCATGCATGCATATGTACGTGTGTACACGTGCATATGTGTGCCCATGTGCTTGTTTGTGGCAGTGCTCGTTTGGGGCACACGTGAAGGACTCCTTACCAAATGCACGAGCTTGAGATTGTAAACGTGCAAATCACCCAGCTGAGATCGTGGGCTCATTTCCTAGAAAGATAACTAAACCCTAGAGTGCCGTGTTTGCAAAACACACACCCCGATCTCCTTGCGTTTTTAATACCCTGAAAGAACGCTCTGGACCATGGAGAGACACGGAGTCGGCAATCGCAGACTCTGGAGAGGTGTGGGAAGGCTCAGGGAACTCTCCCGCCCCAGATCCCCCTCTCCCTGCCTCAGGACCTCCCCGAAGCTCTCCACTGCATTTCATGCTGGGAGAGACCGTGGCATTCTTTGCAGAGTGCTCAGAGAGAAGTCTGGGGTTTTTGTTAGAGACAGGGTCCCGCTCTGTTGCCCAGGCTGGAGTGGAGTGGTGCCATCACAGCTCACTGCAACCTCCACCTCCTGGGTTCAAGTGATCCTCCCACCTCAGCCTCCCAAGTAGCTCTGAGACAGATGCAAACCACCATGCCCAGATAATTTTTTTTATTTTTGGTAGAGATAGGGTCTTGCTATGTTGTTCAGGCTGGTCTTGAACTCCTGGGTTCAAGCGATCCTCCCACCCCAGCCTCCTGAGTAGCTGGGATTACAGGTGCACACCACCATGCCCGGCTGTTTTTTTCTCATTTTTTGTAGCTAGTGCTCGACTTACGACCACGGTCAGGACCGGTCGTAACACGATTTGGTCGTAAGTTGAGTGGGCTATATGTATAGTTGAAATGGTGCACACGGAGATGGTAGTGCTGCCGGAAGCTGGTCCGCACTGTCGTACGCCCAGCTGGGCAACGTTTGCGCTGCTAGATGTGGAGCAGTCGTGGCTAGCGATTGTGGTCATAAAGTCGAATGGTCGTAAGTTGCATAGGTGGTAAGTCGATCAATACCTGTACAGGGTCTTACTGTGTTGCCCAGACTGGTCTCAAACTCCTAAGCTTAAGGGATCATCCTGCCTCCGCCTCCCATAGTGCCAGGATGACAGGCTGAGTCCCCACACCCGGCCCACGTGGGTTATTTAATCCTGATAGCTGTCCTACGGCTACCCTCTCTGTGTGGCAGATACAATCCGGAGGCTCAGAAACAGTCAGTATTTTGAGGAAATCAGAGTAAGTTTTAATGACCCGGGCAGAAATCAGACCAAGATATGCTGAAACCCATATGGCTAATTACTACAGTATACCCAAAAAGCACACAGACAGCCTATTGGCCAGGCACGCTGGCTCATGCCTGCAATCCCAGCACCGCGGGAGGCTGCCGCCAGTGGTCACCGCTGGAGCCTAGGAGTTCAAGACCAGCCTGGGCATCATGGGTGAAACCCTATGTCTAAAAAAATTTAAAAATTAGTTGGGCATGGTGGTGTGCACCTATAGTCCTGGCCACTTTGAAGGCTGAGGTGGGAGGATCATTTGAGCCCAGGAGTCGGAGGCTGCAGTGAGCCACGATCACACTACTGCACCCCAGCCTGGGCGACAGGGCGAGACCCTTTGTCTTACAAAACAAAAACCTACCTATAATCCCACCACCCTGAAATGAATTAATGGTAGCATCTTGGTGTGTATTCTTCCAGAGACTTCTCTGTTCCATAGGCAGTCTCTCTTTTTCCGAGTTACCATGTGTGTACAGGCATGTGTGTTTACTCTGTTGCATTGGTAATATATTTATGAGGTTCAAGATTGCTAAGCTCCAGGCCAGGCACAGTGGTCAGCACTTTGGGAGTCTGAGGCGGGAGGATCACCTGAGGTCAGGAGTTCGACACCAGCCTGGCCAACACGGTGAAACCCCGTCTCTACTAAAAATACAAAAATTAGCCAGGCATGGTGGCGGGTGCCTGTAATCGCAGCTATGCGGGAGGCAGAGGCAGGAGAATCACTTGAACCCAGAAGGCGGAGGTTGCAGTGAGCCGAGATCACACCACTGCAGTCCAGCCTGGGAGACAGAGTGAGACTCTGTCCCAGACAACCAAACAGATTCCTGAGTTCCAGAGAGCACACATACAGTAAAATGCGTACCTCTCCCACCTCCTTGTTTTCCTCTGTAAAACCAGACGATGTCACCGAGTTGCAGTGCACTAAGCCGGTAGCCCGCAGGTGAGGGGGCAGTGCCCGGTGTGCCCCAGCATTTTCAGGGGTAATTTTCAGTCTGCAGAACGTTCCCTCTTGGCATGGTCAGGGCGTGTTGGTTTCGTGGCCCACCTGCTACGTCTTGTGCGTGGCTGGCTGTGTTTCAGGATTTTAAGAAGCACACCGGGATTCTACCTAAGGGCTTGGCTGTCGCTTCCCCAAACACAATCAGATATTTTGGGCCTGGTTGTACCGGATGCGTGGGCCTGTGACTCACGGTAGCTTCCCCTGGGCGGAGCCCCTGTGTCTATTATCAGTTTTCTTTTCTTTTTTCTTTTTTGTTTTTTTAAACGGAGTCTCATTCTACCACCCAGGCTGGAGGGCAGTGGCATGGTTTCGGCTCACTGCAACCTCCGCCTCCTGGGTTCGAGCGATTCTCCCACCTCGGCCTCCCGAGTAGCTGGGACTACAGGCGCACACCACCATGCCCAGCTATTTTTTTCTGTTTTTAGTAGAGGCGGGGTTTCACCATGTTGGCCAAGCTGATCTCGAACTCTTGACCTTGTCATCCGCCCATCTCAGCCTCCCAAAGTGCTGGGATTCCAGGCGTGAGCCACCATGCCTGGCTGTCTGTTAGCAGTTTTCTAAGAAGGAAGTGTACATGACCATGCTTGGGGCAGCAGGTGCCCTTGCTTGGTTTCCAAGGTTGAATTCTGAAAAGCCAGAATTTTCTGTGTACAGCAGGAGCATGTGATGCATGGAGCATGCTTTCTTAAGGCACTCCTGGAATTCCAGAAGAAGGAAGAAGCCTTATGTCTACCAGTCTGAGCCTGTGGGTTTGTTAACGTGGGCTTCATAAAGGAACACTGGAATTAGCCAGGCATGGTGGTGGGCACGTGCAGTCCCAGCTACTGGGGAGGCTGAGGCAGGAGACTTGCTTGAACCCAGGAGGCTTCCCAGGTAGCTGGGACTACAGGCGCAGGCCACCACGCCCAGCTAATTTTTTTTTTTTTTTTTTTTGAGACAGAGTCGCGCTCTGTCACCCAGGCTGGAGTGCAGTGGCACCATCTCGGCTCACTGCGGCCTCTGCCTCCCAGGTTCAAACAATTCTTGGTCTCAGCCTCCTGAGTAGCTGGGATCACAGGCGCCCCATACCATGCCTGGCTAATTTTTATATTTTTAGTAGAGATGGGGTTTCACCATCTTGGCCAGGCTGGTCTCGAACTCCTGAGGTTGCAGTGAGCTGAGATCACTGCACTCCAACCTGGGTGACAGAGCGAGACCCTCTCTCTCAAAAAAAAATTGAGAAGTCTATTGTAAGAAGATACGGTGTGATGGGGTGCTCCTGTAATCCAGCACTTTGGGAGGCTGAAGGGGGCAGACACTTGAAGTCAGGAGTTCAAGACCAGTTTGGTCCACATGGTGAAACCCTGTCTCTACTAAAATTATGCTGGGCACCGTGGCTCATGCCTGTTTAATCCCAGCACTTTTGGAGCCGAGGTGGGTGGATCATGAAGTTGGCAGTTCAAGATCATCCTGGTCAAGATGGTGAAACCCCATCTCTACTGAAAATACAAAAATTAGCCGGGCATGGTGGTGGGTACTTATAATCCCAGCTACTCAGGAGGCTGAGGTGGGAGAATCACTTGAACTGGGGGGCGGGAGGTTGCAGCGAGCTGAGATCACGCCATTGCATTCCAGCCTGGGCAACAGAGCGAGACTCCATCTCAAAAAAAAATAATAATAATTAGAAAAATAATGGGACACTTGAACTTCCCTGGCATCAGGCAATGGCGGAATGGGGACAGCAGGCCTGTGCTACCCGCCAAGTTCCTGTGCTGAGCCGGGGGCTACAGGGGGATGGGCAGCCCCCAGTGTGCAGACCCCCTCTTAGGCCACCTCTCACCCCTTGCTGCAGACCTACCGGGAGCATCTGGGAGGGCAGAAGCACAGAAAGAAGGAGGTGGCCCAGAAGACAGGCGTGCAGCCCAACGGCAGCCCGCAGGGGGTGCAGGCGCAGCTCCACTGTGACCTGTGCTCCGTGTCCTGCACCAGGGCAGACGCCTACGCAGCCCACAACCGGGGAGCCAAGCACCAGAAGGTACGCCCTGCCCCGGCCCAGGCTCCCCTGCCCCGGCCCAGGCTCCCCTGCCCCTGGGGAGGAAGCCAAGGTCAGCACTTGGGACCCAGAGAGGCACCAGGGGAGATAAGAGGGGGCCCAGAAAAGCCTCCCCAAGTGGAGCGCACCCCAGGGCCGGCTGCCCAGGGCCATGCCTCCTTATCTCCGAGGGGCCAGACTGCTTTCCTGTTATTTCATTCATTCGTTCATTCATTTATTTAGAGGTGGAGTCTCGCACTGTCTCCCGGGCTGGGTGCAGGGGCACTATCCCGGCTCACTGCAACAGCTGCCTTCCAGGTTCAAGCGATTCTCCTGCCTCAGCCTCCCCAGTAGCTGGGATTACAGGCGCCCGCCACCAAGCCTGGCTAATTTTTGTATTTTTAGTAGAGACAGGGTTTGGCCATGTTAGCCAGGCTGGTCTTGAACTCTTGAGCTCACATGATCTGCCTGCCTCGGCCTCCCACAGTGCTGGGATTACAGGTGTGAGCCACCGCACCTGGCCCAGTTACATTGTTTTATTTTTCATTTACTATTCCTTTTTGAGACAGAGCCTCACTCTGTCCACCAGGCTGGAGTGCAGGGGCACAATCTCGGCCCACTGCAACCTCCACCTCCCGGGTTCAAGCAATTCTCCTGCCTCAGTCTCCTGAGTAGCTGGGACTACAGGCGCCCGCCACCAAGCCTGGCTAACTTTTGTGTTTTTAGTAGAAACGGGGTTTCGCCATGTTGGCCAGGCTGGTCTGGAACTCTTGAGCTCACGTGATCCGCCCGCCTCGGCCTCCCACAGTGCTGGGATTACGCGCCTGGACTCCTGTCCACTTGTAAAAGTTGCTCCTGCTCATTGCACAAAAGCAGGAAGTGGCCGAGACCCTCAGACCCGCACTTCCAAGAAAGTGTTGGCATTCAGGCGCGGCGACAGGGCTTGCACTGCGTGCCATGAGAGCACACGCCGCGCCCCCGTTGGGGTCTTGCTTTCCACACCGCCTGCTGTAGTATCACTGTTTCCCTGTGGCCTTAAAAAGGCCCGGGTAAGGCTGGGCACAAGGGCTCACACCTGTCATCCCAGCGCTTTGGGAGGCCGAGGCAGATGGATCACGTGAGATCAGGAGTCCGAGGCCAGCCTGGCCAACATGGCAAAACCCCGTCTCTGCTAAAAATACAAAAATTAGCCGGGCGTGGGGGCGTGCGCCTGTAATCCCAGCTACTAGGAAGGCTGAGGCGGGAGAATTGCTTGAACCTGGGAGGTGGAGGTTGCAGTGAGCTGAGATCTTGCCACTGCACTCCAGCCCGGGTGACAGAGCAAAGCTCCATCTCAAGAAAAAAGGCCTGGGTTACGTCATGTTCTGGGGAAGAGGGGATGGAGTCCCCCCCACCTGAGGGCAGGGAGGGGGCAACCGGCTTGTGCTGCAGCCTCTGCTGTCAGTCACGCTGGGCCGCCCTGGGAGGCCTGGCTGGGGACCTGGCTCATCTCCCCCAGCTGCCCAGAGGCTCATCCACGGCCTCATTCTCTTGCTCAGCTCAGGACAGCCTGCTGAGGGCCTGTGTGAACCCTCAGGGGAAAGAGGAATGGGCAGGGAGGCATGGAGGAGGGAAGGAGGCGGTGGGAGAGACAGGGGAGGGAGACTCACTGGCCTGGGGGCGGGAGAGCTAGGGGCCGGGTGGGGCGGAGCCGCAGGTGTCACCCCCCCGCAGGTTAGGGCTTGGCCTGGGGGTCAGGGAGGCCCTGAGCCCACTGTGGGTTTGGTGCAGGGAAGTCTGTGCAGTGCGTCTCACACTCAGAGCTGGCAAGTGTGTGGGAGACGGTCCCCAGCACACACACAGCGACCCTGTGCACGTGGAACCTTTGTGCCTTGCACCCAGAGGTGCCGAGAATGGGGCACGGCCAGAATGCGGATGTGATCACGTGCACATGTGCGTGCAGAACGTGGGCGTGCATCCAGGGACGTGTGCACACTCACAGTCCACCCACACACGCTGAGTCCCGGGCTGTCAGGGGCACTAGCCTGGGGCTTGGGAGGCAGAGACACGTCCCCACCTCGAAGCCCACAAGGTGCAGGAGGGGGAAGAGCGTCCATGTGAGCCGGTGAGGGTATCACAGCGCTAGAGGAGTCACAAGCACGTGGAAGGGCCTTCTGGAGGGGGTGAGATCCAGAGAGTCGGAGCCAGAGAGGAGGTGGGGTCCCCAGGACCGGCCCACCCACACTCACTCCCGCTTCGCTCCCATGGAGGCCCTTCCTGCTTCTTGGAAAAGGCCATCAGGCCTTGGAGTGGCCCTCACACAGGGTCCAGCTCTGTCTCTTTCAGGTCTTCAAGCTGCACGCCAAACTGGGGAAGCCCATTCCCACGCTCGAGCCTGCCGGGGCCACGGAGAGTCCCCCCAGGGCTGAAGCCAAGGCCATGCCCCTCACCAGCCCCAGTGTGTGTGCCCCGAGCAGGCCAGCGCTGGCCAGGATACCTGTGGCCTCAAAGGCCTCATGCAAGGGTACGTGTCTCTGCATTCTCTGCCATGTCTACCCACGTGTTCACGTACCCACACGCGCCCTGGCCACCTAGTGAGAGTTTCCTGAGCGGTCACCATCCAGTCGATTTTCACGAAAGAGATTTCATGTCTTCCGGGGGCGGAGACGAGGGGCTGGTGCCGTCACTCCCTCACTGCAGCAGGGCAGGATGGCCCCCCACTGGCCCACACCACCCTCAACCTTGGAGATCCTTTGAGACAATTCCAGAGAGAGCAGGCGGAACCAGTAAAATGGTAATGCCATCTCTTCCTTTAGTCTTTTCTTTTTGAGATGGTGTCTCACTGCTCTGTCGCCCAGGCCGGAGTGCAGTGGCGCCATCTCTGCTCACTGCAACCTCCGCCTCCTGGGTTCAAGCAGTTCTCCTGCCTCAGCCTCCCAAGTAGCTGGGACTACAGGCCTGTACCACCACGCCGGGCTAATTTTTATGTTTTTAGTAGAGATGAGGTTTCACCATGTTGGCCAGGACGGTCTCGAACTCCTGACCTCAGGTGATCTGCCCGCCTCGGCCTCCCACAGTGCAGGGATTACAGGCGTGAGCCACCGTGCCTGGCCTCTTCTGGTAGAATTTGGGCTGCTGCTGGGTGCTGGGATTCTCTGGAAGCCCCCCCACGCCACACTCTGAGGGTTCCCTGAACTGCCACCTCCACTGTGCTCCCCTGCACGCCCTAGGGCTCACGGTGAACAAATTGGGCTCAGAACCAGAGTAATGTGAGTGCCAGGAAATGAAGGTGGCATCCTTGCACCCTCCCCTGTGCCCCTACCTGCCCTGCGTGCAAAGCCCAGCTGTCCGAGCTGACCCGCGGTAACTAGGGTTCAATGCCAGGCACCTGCTCACTGCTTTGTGTGTGTCGCTTCATTTTCCCTCCACGACAACTCTTTTTCATGGGTTTTTGTTTGTTTTTTGAGACAGCGTCGCCTTGTCACCTGGTCCAGAGTACAGTGGTGCTACTGCAGCCTCCGCCTCCTGGGCCAAGCGATCCTCCCAGCTCGGCCTCCTGAGTAGCTGGGACTGCAGTGTGCACCACCACTCCCCACTACTTTTTGTATTTTTTTTTAGAGATGGGGTCTTGCTATGTCTCTCAGGCTGGTCTGAAACCCCTAGGCTTAAGTGATCCTCCCACCTCAGCCTCCCACAGCGCTGGGATTACAGGCGTGAGGCGTGAGGCGTGAGCCACTGTGCCCAGCCCGAAACTCAGTGAAGTCGATGTTGACACCAGCCCCAGCGTGTAGACGGAAAAGCCATCAACGGTGGAGGTGGAGCTGGAGCTCTCTGCGTAAGAGACAGCCCTGGACCACCGTGCTGTGCACGGGCCGGGGTGGGGGACGCTCTGTTTTTAGCCTCAGCAGCCTTGATTCTTGAATAGCCACGTGATTTTGAAGATGGAGCCATCAAGTCATGCCGATAACAGAGACATTTGTCTGCCCCGAGGCTCCGTAATTTTGCCCAGCGGGGGCAGGTTAAGTGCAAGTCTTGGTCCACCTGATACTTGATCATCGATTAACTAAGGGATGTGGATTTTGTGCTGTCGGTGGGTTCCTCAAGCAAACACCTAAAAACCAGCGCTTCTCCACCGACAGATTGAAATTGGCCTCATAGGCTGGGCGCAGTGGCCCATCCCTGTAATCCCAGCACTCTGGGAGGCTGAGGCAGGTGGATCATGAGGTCAGGACTTCGAGGCCAGCATCAGGAAACCCTGTCTCTACTAAAAATACAAGAAATTAGCCGGGCGTGGTGGTGCACACCTATAGTCCCAGCTACTCAGAAGGCTGAGGCAGGAGAATTGCTTGAACCCGGGAGGCGGAGGTTGCAGTGAGCCGAGATCGTGCCTGGGTGACAGAGCAAGACTCCATCTCAAAAAAGAAAGAAAGAAAGAAATTGACCTTTTCTCGGCTGGGTCACACCCTGGCATGAAAGGGAGGGTGAGGTTGCTCCCAGGCCATTCCCCACCCCCACATCGGGAGGAGGGAAGGGGATGGCAGAGCTCGGGGTCTAGGTGGCTGTCCACCCCCTGCCGCCTGGTGGTCTGCTGCCACAGTGCCTTCTCATGGAACAGGTTACAAGTGACATGTTTTGTCCCCTCAGGGCCTCCTGAGCCGCAGGCAGCAGACTGCAGACCCCAGTGGGAGAAACCAACCCCACCCAAATCAGAGGGTCCCGGAGCCCCCACCCGAGGAGACTCGGAGGAAGCTCCCCAGGGCTGCTCTGATGCGCAGCCGGTGGGGCCGGAATATGTGGAGGAGGTACGTGGAGGCTGACAAGCCCTGGTGCTCTGGTCAGGGAAGGACCTTCCTGTGGTTCAGGCTTTGAGACCTCACCCGGGTTCTCCCAGCGACATATACGAACCAGCCCCATTCCTGAGCTGCCCCTGCAGACCTGCTTGACACTTTGGGTGCTGGATGTCGGATATTAGCAGGAAATGAACATGGATCTGTGAGGGTCAGAGACAGGCCGAGGCATTGCCAACAGGGGTCCCTGAGGAGCTGCCTGGCTGGGAGGCCGAAAGGACTCCAGGCAGTGGAAAGTCCCTGGGAGGTTGCAGGCCTGTCTGTCCAGCCCCTTTCCTGGGCCTGGGGGACCTTGGGACCTACCAAGGCCAGCCTGGTGAGCAGCAGGGCCAAGCTCCCGGCCAGCGGCAGCTCAGACCCTTCTTGAGCTGGTTGGCCTTGCGCATTCCAAAGAGGCAGGCCTGGGATTCTTTTTTTTTAAGAGACAGAGTCTTGCTGTGTCACCCAGGCTGGAGTGCCATGGTGCCATTACAGCTCACTGCAGCCTCGACCTCCTGGGCTCAGTCAATCCTCCCACCTCAGCCTCCCCAGCAGCTGGGACTACAAGCATGAGCCATCATTCCCAGCTAATTTTTTATTTTTTTTTGTAGAAACACGGTCACGCTAGGTTGACCAGGCTGGTCTCGAACTTTCGGGCTCAAGCAGTCCTCCCGCCTCCCATGGTGGTGCGTGCCTGTAGGAGTTTGAGTCTGCAGTGAGCTGAGATCGAGCCACTGCACTCCAGCCTGGGTGACAGAGCAAGACCCTGTCTCTAAAAATAAATAAATAAGGGCCGTCGCAGTGGCTCACGCCTGCAGTCCCAACACTTTGGGAGGCTGAGGCAGGTGGATCACGAGGTCAGGAGTTCGAGACCAGCCCGACCAACATGGTGAAACCTGTCTCTACTGAAAGTGCAAAAACTAGCCAAGTGAAGCAGCGCACACCTGTGATCCCAGCTACTTGGGAGGCTGAGGCAGGAGAATTGCTTAAACCTGGGAGGCGGAGGTGGCTCACATCCTCCCAGCCTCGTGCCTGGTGCGCGTGCTGCTGTGTTTTGTGCCTCAGGTGCGCAGCGAGGAAGGGCGAGTGCTTCGCTTCCATTGCAGGCTGTGCGAGTGCGGTGTCAACGACCTTAACGCCAAGGACCTGCACGTGAGGGGGCGGCGGCACCGGCTGCAGTACCGGGTGTGTCCAGCAGGGGGAGCCCCGATACCCGTCCGGGCGGCTTGGCCCAGGTGGGCGCTGGCCAGGAAGGCCTCTGGTCCGGTGATCCCACGAACTCAGAGGGTGGGGTGATTGTTTTTTTCCGACGTCTTCATTCACGTCTCAAAGTGCATCTTGGGTGGGGTGCGGTGGCTGACGCCCGTCATCCCCGCACTTTGGAATGTTGAGCAAGAGGATCACCTGAGGTCAGGAGTTCAACACCAGCCTGGCCAACATGGTGAAACCCCATCTCTACTAAAAATGCAAAACTCAGCCGGGCGTGGTGGCGCATGCCTGTAGTCCCAGCTACTCAGGAGTCTGAGGCAGGAGAATCACTTGAACCTGGGAGGCGGAGGTTGCAGCGAGCTGAGATCACGCCACTGCACTCCAGCCTGGGTGACAATTGCGAAACTCTGTCTCAAAAAACAGACTTTGGGAGATTTCAGCCCAACGGTTCTAGTCTCCGGGCCTCTCCCTGTACCCTGAGACCCTCCCGGCACCCCTGTCTAAAGCAGTTGTCTCACAGCCTGGCCTCTCCTTTCAGAAGAAAGTGAACCCTGACCTTCCCATCACCACAGAGCCCAGCAGCCGTGCTCGGAGTCTCCTGGAAGAACGGATAAGGAAGCAGCGGCGCCTGGCGGAGGAGCGGCTGGAGGAGCTGCGGTGCTGGCAGGCGGAGAGGAGGTGCCCGGCTGCGGGTCTTGGCAAGGGGGCCTGAAGAGCGAGGGCAGGTCCAGATGGAAGCAGACACCCGCTGCTGCAGACTGTGGGGCTCCCCCATGTGTGCTCTTAGGCAGTGTGGGAGACGGGTGCCTGGGCAGTGGCCCCGTCCTGGTGTAGGAGCATGAGAGGACCAGACATGTGGGCGCCAGGGCCTCCACGATGCAGGGACACTGCCTGCCAACCCACTGGACTGCACAGCTGCAGAGCTGCCTGGTGACCCTGTGTCTCCCTGACCCCTGGCGTCCTCTATGTCCCCTGACCCCTGGTGTGCCCCGTGACCCATGGCCCCTAACTCCTGGAGTCCCCTGTGTCCCCTGACCCCTCGTGTGCCCTGTGACCCGTGACCACTGGAGTCCCATGTCCTCTGACCCCTGGTGTCCTTGTGTCCCCTGACCCCTGGAGTCCCTTGTGTCCCCTGACCTCTGATGTTCCCTGTGTCCCCCTGACCCCTGGAATCCCATGTCTATCCCGGAGCATTTTCTGATGGAATATCTGACTCTGGTGTGCCCAGCAGCAGCAGGTCTGCATTGGGAAGGTCCAGGACCTCCTGAGGGCCATGGCCACCCGGGCTGGGCCTCTTTTGTCTAAAGGCGTGTCTTGGTCCACCCTGTGAGCCGCCTTCCTTCCCAGCCTCAGTCTTCTGTGCATACAGCAGGCGCCCATGCAGTGTGGTGGAGCCCCAGTGAGAGCTTCGGCCCTGCCTTCCTTGCTGGGAGCATGAGGCCCCAGCGTCTCTGACGTGCCCCCAGCTGAGGGCTGCTGCTGGCCTGAACCTTAGACTGGCACTTTGCATCTGTCCCGTCTCCATCCCGCAGGCGGCTGGAGGAGGAGCCACTGCTCCCGGACCAGCAGTCCCATGCGCTGTCACACACGTCGCCCGACTGGCCCCCGCCTCTGCTCGAGGGCAGGCCAGGCCACCTGCCAGTGCCCCATTCCTGGTAGGTACGGCAGGTGGGTTTGTCCTCTGTGCACAAATGTGGGTGACCTCACACCCTCCGGGGCAGCGGACACCTCCTTAGGAGGCCCCGGCCTCGTCCCAGGCTCCCACATAGTACTGAGGGGATGGGGCCGCCACGGCCCAGGCCCCCTTGCTCCATAGATGGGAGCCCCAGCACCCCAGCCCCTCCCGCTGGGGCACACAGGTCCTGTCTGCTTCCTGGAGCCCTGGGTGTCACCTCCCTTGGGGAGCCTCCTGCCTCTGTGGCCACCACTGTGTCTTCTCAGATGCACCTGTCCCTGCAGCCCAAGACCCCAGGTCAATGGGAACCTTTTTTTTTTTTTTTGAGATGGAGTCTGGCTCTGTCACCCAGGCTGGAGTGCAGTGGTGCGATCTCGACTCATTACAAGCTCCGCTTCCCAGGTTTAAGCAATTCTTCCGCATCAGCCTCCCTGGTAGCTGGGACTATGGGTGCCCGCCATTACGCACGGCTATTTTTTGTATTTTTAGTAGAGATGGGGTTTCACCATGTTGTCCAGGCTGGTCTGGAGCTCCTGACCTCAGGTGATCCACCTGCGTCGGCCTCCCTAAGTGCTGGGATTACAGGCATGAGCCACCACGCCCGGCCTAAATGGGAACCTTAGATTTGCACCTTGCTGTGGGGAACAGGTTCCCAGGCTGACTCAAAAGCCTCTGGTCTGGAAATATAAGAATATGGCCAAAGGTGGGGGTCCCCTCAATCCCCCACCCCCGCTCAGATCCAAGCTTCCTGTAGCCATCAGGGGCAGCCCAAGGCACCTCCCTGTTCCCCACCCTGGGGCTCTCTGTGCGCTGGATTCTCGCCTGGCCACACTGCTGCCCCGTAACCCAGCTGGGCACGGCCACCTGCTCCCACCTGCCCACCTGCCCAGCACTCCCCAGGAGACCCCACAGCCCACCCTTGACGCACTTGGCCTCTCCCCACAGCCTGGGCGGCGGCCAGCGTCCACTGAGGACCGGCAAGTGATGTGCAGGCATGCCGCAATCTACCCCACGGAGCAGGAGCTCCTGGCCGTGCAGAGGGCCATGTCCCACGCCGAGCGGGCCCTCAAGCTGGTGTCCGACACACTGGCCGAGGAGGACCACGGGCACCGAGAGGAAGACGGCAGCACGTGCAGGTGACTGGAGATCCCCCTCCCTGGGCCCGGCTCTCAGGCAGGACAGAGGTCAGCGCCTCCGGATGAGACCCTGCAGGAACCCCCAGCTCTGAGGGGCCTGGAGCCCTCGGTGGCCTGGGCAGCTGTCCATCCCCTGGTCCGGGAAGTTCCTAGATCTCAGAGCTGGAGCTTCTGGGCGCTGATCGAGTCTGAGTTGAAGCGGTGATCCGTGCTGTTCTAATGCCTTGGTGTTCCCTTTGCATTGAAGGCGCATCTAAAAACATAGTTCATGGGCCGGGCGCGGCGGCTCGCGCCTGTAATCCCAGCACTTGGGGAGGCCGAGGTGGGTGGATCACCAGGTCAGGTATTTGAGACCAGCTTGGCCAACATAGTGAAACCCTGTCTCTACTAAAAATACAAAAAATCAGCCGGGCGTGGTGGTGTGCACCTGTAATCCCAGCTACTTGGAGGCAGAAGCAGGAGAATTGCTTGAACCTGGGAGGCGGAGGCTGCAGTGAGCCGAGATCGCGCCACTGCACTCTAGCCTGGTGTCTGGCGACAGAGCAAGACTGTCTCAAAAAATAAAAACAAAAAAAACCCTGTAGTTGATGAGGAATTGACAGTCTCTGTAAACCTCAGTTTCCTCATCTGCAGAAGGAAGCTGAGCATGATTCTGAAAAGACATCTCTGCCTCGGGGAGTCACTGAGTAATCAGAGTAGCTCATGTCACTGAGCACTCGTGTGAATCAGCTCCAGGCCCCTGTGATTCTTAGGAAGCAAGAAAGTCCCTACGTCTCCTAAGTCATTGCCGTGCAGTTAAGTCATCCCAGCGGGAGTTACCTTTTTTCAAAGTCCTTCCTGCTCTGGTAGATGCTGGTTTGGTTTGGTTTGGTTTAAAGAAGCAGGATCTGTACCCAGGCTGGAGTGCGACGGTGCGATCGGAGCTCACTGAGCCTCAGGCCCCCGTGTGTTCACGCTGTCCTCCTGCCTCAGCCTCCCGAGTAGCTGGGACTACAGGCGCCCACCACCACACCCAGCTAATTGTTAACTTTTTGTAGAAATGGGGTCTCGCAGCTGGGCGCGGTGGCTCATGCCTGTAATCTCCCAGCACTTTGGGAGGCTGAGGCGGGCGGATCATGAGGTCAGGAGATCGAGACCATCCTGGTTAACACGGTGAAACCCATCTCTACTGAAAATACAAAATAATTAGCCGGGTGTGGTGGCGTGTGTCTGCAATCACAGCTACTCGGGAGGCTGAGGCAGGAGAATCGCTTGAACACGGGAGGCAGAGGTTGCAGTGAGCTGAAACTGCACCAGTGTACTCCAGCCTGGGCCATAGGGAGAGATTTCATCTCAAAAAAAAAAAAAAAAAAAAAAGAAATGGGATCTTGCTGTGTTGGCCAGGCTGGTCTTGAACTCCTGGACTCAAGCGATCCTCTTGCCTCAGTCTCTCAAGTAGCTGAGACTAGACATGCCACCACCCCACTGGCTAATTAAAAAAAAATTTTAAGAGACATCTTGTTATGTTAGCCAGCCTGGTCTTGAACTCCTGGGCTCCTGGGCTCAAGCAATCCTCCCATCGCAGCCTCCCAAAGTGCCAGGAGGTTGCAGGTTCACTTTCCTCTTTGAATGCTTTGCTTTTTTTTTTTTTTTTTTTTTTGACAGTCTCACTCTGTCACCAGGCTGGAGTGCGGTGGCTCGATCTCAGCTCACCACAACCTCCTTCTCCAGGCTTCAAGTGATTCTCCTGCCTCCTGAGAAGCTGGGATTACAGGCATGCGCCACCACGCCCAGCTAATTTTTGTGTTTTTAGTAGAGACGGGGTTTCACCATGTTGGCCAGGCTGGTCTCGAACTCCTGACCTCAGGTGATCAGCCCACTTTGGCCTCCCAAAGTGCTGGGATTACAGGCATGAGCCACTGTGCCCGGCCTGAATGGTTTTCTTTTTGATAAAATCTACCTAACACAATACTTAGCATTTTCACCATGTCTAAGTGCCCCGTTCAGGGGCATGAAGCTTCACACAGCTGTGCCACCGTCACCCCATCCATCCCCAGAATGGTCTCATCTTCCCAAACTGAAACTCTCTCAATTAAGCAAACTCCTCATTTTGTGTCACGCACCCACGCGTGGCCCCCGCCCCCGTCTCTGTGGATTGGCCTGCGCTGGACAGTTCATAGAAATGGGGTCACACACCATGTGGCCTTTCATGTCTGGCTGTCCCAGTCTGCCTGAGGGCTTCCTTCCGCTGGAGTAGAGAGTACTGACTCCATAGAGGAAGTGTGAGCCTCACACTGTGCATTGCAAAGTGTCCCAATACAGTCAGCGCCCGGGACCTTGCCCGCTGCTTTTTATTTTCTGGCTTTTTTTTTTTTTTTGAGGCTGATTCCCACTCTTGTCCAGGCTGGAGTGCAGTGGTGTGATTTCGGCTCATAGCAACCTCTGCCTCCTCCTGGGTTCAAGTGATTCTCCTGCCTCAGCCTTCCAAGTACTAGAACTACAGGCATGTACCACCACACCCAGCTAATTTTTATTTTAATTATTATTATGTTGTTATTTTGAGACAAAGTCTCGCCCTGTATCCCAGGCTGGAGTTCAGTGACACCATCTTGGCTCACTGCAACCTCCGCCTCCTGGGTTCAAGCAGTTCTCCTGAAGGTTGCAGGTTCACTTTCCTCTTTGAATGCTTTGCTTTTTTTTTTTTTTTTTTTTTGGACAGTCTCACTCTGTCACCAGGCTGGAGTGCGGTGGCTCGATCTCAGCTCACCACAACCTCCTTCTCCAGGCTTCAAGTGATTCTCCTGCCTCCTGAGTAGCTGAGATTACAGACAGGCACCTGCCACCACGCCCAGCTAATTTTTGTGTTTTTAGTAGAGATGGGGTTTCGCCTTGTTGGCCAGGCTGGTCTCAAACTCCTGACCTCACGTGATCAGCCTGCCTCGGCCTCCCTAAGTGCTGGGATTACAGGCGTGAGCCACCATGCCCATCCTGGGTTCCTGAATTTTCTTAACCCCAGTGAATCAAGGGCACAAAGAAGCATTGCTTTCTGTTTTTTCTGGAACCCATGTGAAGCCAAAACCACCATGTGACAAAGTGCATGAACGCTGGAGGCGTCAGACCTCTCGGGGCCGTCTGGGGCTTAGCGTCTGCTCACGAGGAAGGAAAATGTGGGTTTGGCCACTGTCTTGGCTACCCCGAGGCTTGCCCGGTGGCAGCACCTCCGAGAGGGATCTCACAGTGTCCCATTTCATCCTGCAAGCACCTTGGACAGAGTGGCCTGGTCCCATTTCATGGACGAGGACACTGAGGCATAGAGAGGCTTTGCAAATTGCGGGGTCCCCGTAGCTCAGGAGCGAGGCAGCTGGGGCACTGAGTGCCTCTCTGCTGATGGCGCAGGTATGTGACTTTGTCCTCGCAGCAGCGTGGCCCCCCAGGCTCAGGTCCTGAAAGGAGTCATGCGGGTAGGCATCCTGGCGAAGGGCCTCCTCCTGTGTGAGGAAAGGAACGTGCGTCTCGCTCTGCTCTGCCCTGTGAAGCCCACGCACAGCCTGCTGCGGAGGATCGCTCAGCAGCTGCCCCGGCAGCTCCAGGTGAGGTCAGGACCCCGCTCATCGCTGCCCCCCGGTGTCTGGCTGCCAGCCCTCTCCCCGCAGCCCCTCGAGCTCCTAGATGGCAGGGGACCTTCGTTACAACACAACTTTAAGATACAAGAAGTAGGCCAGGCGAGGTGGCTCACGCCAGCACTTTGGGAGGCTGAGGCAGGTGGATCACCTGAAGTCAGGAGTTCGAGACCAGCCTGGCCAACATGGCAAAACCCTGTCTCTACTAAAAATAAAAGACTAGCCGGGCGTGGTGGCAGGCGCCTGTAATCCCAGCTACTCAGAAGGCTGAGGAAGGAGAATCGTTTGAGCCCTGGAGGCGGAGGTTGTAGTGAGCCGAGATCACACCACTGCACTCCAGCCTGGGCCACAGAGTGAGACTCCGTCTCAAAAAAGAAAGAAAAAGAAAAATCGTTCCCCAGAGTAGTCCCTTCTTCCTGAGTGTCTGTCACAGTCCCTGGGAGAACTCAGCCTTACTCCTTTGAGTTTTCCCATGGGCACTGGATGCCCAGGGGCCAGGCAGCACCTGATTGGGTAGACAGTATTCCCCATAGAAGGACCAGTACCTGCAGAGCCCAAAGCAGGAGGCCCAGAGAAAGGAGGAGTGGGTGTGAGGGGTTGAGAGGGCGCCTGGATCAAGCTGGGCCTGAAAGCCATACTCAGAGGTAGGATTGCATTCTCAGGGAAGTGGGGAGGCTAAAGGGTTTTGAGCAGGGGAGTGACATGCTCTGACTTCACCAATTGCATCTTTTCCTGCACACCTGCAACATGACGGTGGTCCAGATACAGCCCCTGCTTTCTGGAAAACCTGCAGCCCAGTGGCAAAGACAATTCCTGAGGCCCACGAGACTGGCTAAGGCTGTGGGGAGGCTGGCAGCATCCACCCCCGTGATGTCGACAGAGCTCCTGGGGGCTGCTTTGCAGCAGGGAGGCCCTGCGAAGGGAGGGGGTGGAGGATGAGGAGACAGGTGGGTTTCAGGTGGGAGGCCAGGCTCAGGTGTGGGCACAGGCCACATGGAGGGTGCTGACCGTGCACAGGAAGGCCGGACTGCGACACAGACCTCTTGAGTTACATCCTTCTCACGGGAGATGAGGGCATCTCATCACAGTTTTAATATACTCCTCCCTACTGTGGGGTAACGTGTGTCATTGTGTAAAAAGGGCCGTGTGTGTTTCTTTTTCTGCCAGTTCCCAGTTTTTTATTGGATTTCTGGTCTTTTTCTTACTGAATTGCAGGTGTTCTTTACATATGGAGGCTCCTTATATCACAGGGTCTGTTGTCTGCACATATCTCTACACGTGTGTGCTCTTAGGGGGCTGCAGCTGTGTCTCGCTCACTCGGGTTCCAGGCCTGGCACCCAGGCAGCAAGTGTGGGAGGCCTGACAGGGTTAACGTGCACACACCAACCGCGTCCTGGCTGATTCACACATGATTCGGGGCTGCAGTAAGGTGGCCTTGTGTTGTATTTGCCCCTCCCAGGAGGTGACCGAGGATGAATATGAGGTCTCCTCTGACCCCGAAGCCAACATTGTCATCTCCTCCTGCGAGGAGCCCAGGATGCACGTCACCGTATCCGTCACCTCACCCCTGATGCGGGAGGACCCCTCCACGGACCCAGGTGTGGTGCAGCCCTTCCTTCCAGCCACTGTCCCCCGAACACTTCCCTGGAGCACTGCCCACACCCAGGCCTGAGCAGGAAATGCAGCAGGAGCCATCCTGCAGCACTGCTGTCCCCCTGAGGATTCCATGGGTCACACGGGAGCTGGGCCTCGGGGCAGCAGAGGGGGTGAGGGGCAGTTGAGGGGGTGAGCTGGTGAGTAGCACCGTGTCCCCTCCCTTCCCTCACCTGGGGTGGCACCTGCTTCTCCAGCGCTGGTGACACCAGCCCTGGCAGCAGCAGGCAGGTCTGAGCTGCTTCTGGTCTGAGCCATTTCTCCCATGTCACAGCAGAAGCTCAGTTTGACCGTGTCCGTCAGTCACTGAGGTCCCAGTGCCATTGAGTAGGGACGTGGGGGCTTGGGGGGCTGAAAGCCAGACCTGCCAGGCCTGGGAGGATGGGTGAAGGGCTGGGCCAGGCTGGGGGCAGTGAGGGTCTTGGCCAGCGACCCCTGCAGAGGCGGGCATTAGTAACACTCTGCATGTCTGTGCTCCCAAAGTCTCAGCCAGCTGTGGAATCTTCCAGAACAGTCTCTAGGGCAGTTTGCAAAACTCCCTTCATCTTTCACCCATTCATAATCTTTTTTGGCCATAACTGAGGGCCATGACCTACTAATGTTTATCTTTCAATTGATTTGGGTTTTTTGTTTGTTTTTTGAGACAGTCTGGCTCTGTCACCCGGGCTGGAGTGTAATGGTGTGACCTCGGCTCACTGCAACCTCCACCTCCCGGGTTCAAGAGATTCTCCTGCCTCAGCCTACCCGGCAGCTGAGACTACAGGCCTGAGCGACCACGCCGTGCTAATTGTTTTATATTTTTAGTAGAGACGGGGTTTTACCAGCTTGGCCAGGCTGGTCTCAAACTCTTGACCTCAGGCGATCTGCCCACCTCAGCCTCTCGAAGTCCTGGGATTGCAGGCGTGAACCACCGTGCCCAGCCCCACTTGTTTTTTGGTTTTTTGAGACAGAATCTTGCTCTTGTTGCCCAGGCTGGAGTGCAATGGTGCGATCTCAGCTCACTGCAACCTCCACCTCCCAGGTTCAAGCGATTCTCTTGCCTCAGCTTCCTGAGTAGCTGGGATGACAGGCACGCGCCGCCACGCCCAGCTAATTTTTGTATTTTTAGTAGAGGCGGGGTTTCACCATATTAGTCAGGCTGGTCTCAAACTCCTGATCTTGGGTGATCCGCCTGCCTCGGCCTCCCACAGTGCTGGGATTACAGACGTGAACCACCGCGCCCAGCCATCCCCATCTGTTTTTTAAAGTTTAAGTTTTTTTGTTTGTTTGTTTTTGGTTTTGTTTTTTTAAGGAGAACCTTTAAATCATCCAGGGGGAAGCCATGATTGGTCCTCATAAATAGTCATCTGAAAAATAAGTACAGGGTGGCGAAGAGAGAGCCTTTCGGTGCTAGCTAAAGGCCCTGACAAACTCAGAGGCATTTGGGAAGTGGCGGGGGCGGGGGACGGGCAAAGCGTTGGCGGCCACTAGACAGTGGCTCTTTCCTGACTTGGGTGGGTGATTAAGTGAGCGGAAATCCTTCTGTGAGGACAGATCAGCGACAGAAGAGCCCCGTGAGCCGCCCCCCAGGAAACTGCACTTCCTGTCTGCCTTTTCCTGCCCATTTCCCCTCCCCGGGCACAGTGTGGTGGGGACTGGGGACGTGAGCTTCTAAAACTTCCTTTCTAGGCTGGCCACAGTGGCCCATGGCTCTAATCCCGGCACATTTGGCGATCGAGGTGGGAGGATCGCTTGACTCCAGGAATTCCAGACCAGCCCGGGCAACGTAGTGAGACCCCCATCTCTAAAAAGAAAAAAAGAAAATTGGCCAGGTGCTGTGGCTCACACCTGTAATCCCTGCACAAGGCTGGCAGTTCACCTGAGGTCAGGAATTCGAGACCAGCCTGGCCAACATGGTGAAACCCCGTCTCTACTAAAAATATAAAAAATTAGCCAGGCTTGGTGGCAGGCACCTGTAGTCCCAGTTACTCGGGAGGCTGAGGCAGGAGAATTGCTTGAACCCGGGAGGCGGAGGTTGTAGTGACCCAAGATCGCGCCATTGCACTCCAGCCTGGGTGACAGAGAGAGACTCCATCTCTAAATAAATAAATATTAGCCGGGTATGGTGACACACACCTGGAGTCCCAGCTACTCAGGAGGCTAAGGCAGGAGGATCACATGAGCTACGATCGCACCACTGCACTCCAGCCTGGGCCACAGAGCGAGACCCTGTCTCTAAATACATAAAAATAAAAATGAAAAAAAACCATTCCTCATATACACCTCTGCCATTTCCCTCTCAGCCCCAAAGGAGTAATTTCCCTGACAGACCAGCAGGGATATTTGCGGACCAAGGGGAAACCCGTGTGCCATCACGTGACCTACATAAACCCAGGGTCTCCCACAGTATTGCATGTAATGAAATCAAAATATCCCACTTTGTTTCTTGGTTTTGAAGAGACAGGGTCTCACTGTGGTCCAGGCTGGAGTGCAGTGGTGCAGTCCTGGCTCACTGCAGCCTCGACCTCTGGGGCTCCAGCAGTCCTTCCGCCTCAGCCTCCCGAATAGCTGGGACCACAGGTGTGTGCCACCACACCGGCTGATTTTATTTTTTGTAGAAACAGGGTCTCACCGTGTTGCCCAGGCTGATCTCAAACTCCTGGGCTCAAGCGATCCTCCTGCCTCAGCCTCCCAAAGTGCTGGGATTACAGGCATGAGCCACTGTAATCCATTTGAGAAAAAAATTTTGTTTTTTTTGTGATGGAGTCTTACTCTGTCACGCAGGCTGGAGGGCATTAGCGAGATCTCGGCTCACTGCAACCTCTGCTCCTCAGGTTAAAGCGAGTCTCCTGCCTCAGCCTCCCGAGTGGCTGGGACTACAGGCAGGCACCACCACGCCTGCCTAATTTTTGAATTTTTAGTAGAGATGGGTTTTCGCCATGTTGGCCAGGCTGGTCTTGAACTGCTGACCTCGTGATCTGCCTACCTCGGCCTCCCAAAGTGCTGGGATTACAGGTGTGAGCCACTGTGCCCAGCTGAGAAAAATATTCTTTTTTATTTTTTTTGAGATTGAGTCTTACTCTGTAGCCCAGGCTGGAGTGCAGTGGCGCAACCTTGGCTCGCTGCAACCTCCGCCTCCCGGATCCCGGTTCAAGCAGTTCTCCTGCCTCAGCCTCCCACATAGCTGGGATTACAGGCACGCGCCATCATGCCCAGCTAATTTTTGTATTTTTTAGTAGAGACAGGGGTTTCACCATGTTGGCCAGTCTGGTCTTGAACTCCTGACCTCATGATCTACCTGCCTTGGCCTCCCAAAGTGCTGGGATTACAGGCGTGAGCCACCACGCCCGGCCAAGAAAAATAGTCATAAAGAGAAATAATAACCGGGCAGGGAACAGGGACCCACATCTCTCCCAGACTCTGGGGTTGTCGTTGTCCATGACAGGACGTGTTGAAATCTGACCCACTTTCTCCCTTTCCATGATGCATGTGGAAGTTTCTAGAAATATGGCTTAATTCATAGTTTCCTGAGCATCAGGGCTGAAATCCCTCAGTAGCAATCGGTAAGCTCGGAACTTCCGCGAAGTTGAGGTTTTCCAGGAACGGTTTTGTCCAGTCCTCGCTGGAGGACCATCGCTCCCCAGATAAATAAAACGAGGCCTAAGGATTCAGGCCGGGCACGGTGGCCAGCGCTTTGGGAGGCCGAGGCGTGAGAATCACCTGAGGTCAGGAGTTTGAGACCAGCCTGGCCAACATGGTGAAACCCCGTCTCTACGAAAAATACAAAACTTAGCGAAACGTGGTGGGGGGGCGCCTGTAATCTCAGCTGCTCGCGAGGCTGAGCAGGAGAATCACTTGAACCCGGGAGGCGGAGGTTGCAGTGAGCTGAGATCACGCCACTGCCTGGGTGACTGTGTCTCAAAAAAAAAAAAAAAAAAACGGATTGAGGGGCACAAACTGAGCCCCTCACCCCGTCGGGAGCGGAGCGGGACAGGGCACCTTCCCCACATACCTGGAGGTTTTTCTTCTAGAAGGTGTGGAGGAGCCACAGGCTGACCCAGGTGACGTCCTGAGCCGGGAGAGGTGCCTGGAGTCCCTGGCCGCCCTCCGTCATGCCAGGTGGTTTCAGGTCAGGGGGGGCAGGGGTGGCACGGGGGGAGGGGCAGCTTTGGGGAACGTGGCTCAGAGGCATCAGCCTGACCTGGCACGGCCGCCTCAGCCCGTGGGCTCCCCACGCAGACCGGGACGCGCTCGCCATCAGCTTCCTGGCTCATGAGTGGCCGCTTAATGGCCTGTTGGGACCAAACTTATCTGGAAGTGGACTCTGCTTCCACCTGTCACCTTTGAGGCTGGCCAGACTCCCCGTCATCCTCCCTGAGGTTCATGCTCACGACAGTGCCCGGTGCCCGTGTGACCCCGTGAGCCCCCGAGAGCTAACCGTGCGCTTCTCCCCCGAAGGCTCGAGCCAGCGGCCTGCAGCCATGTGTGATCGTCATCAGGGTCCTGCGAGACCTCTGCCGGTGCATGCCCACCTGGGGGGCCCTGCCAGCCTGGGTAAGGCGTGCCCGGCCCTCCACTGGGAACCCCAAGGGGCTCCATGGCCTCGACAGGCCCAGGCTGAGACAGACCCTTTCCCAGAGTGCGGCTTCCCTCGAAGGGGCCAGAGAGGCCTAGTGCTCAAGAGAAGGTGTGGGAGCCCCTGAGGTCCCCTGGGCAGGGAGACGGCCCCCTCCACAGCCTCATTTGACTGCCATTATTCAAAACACAGAATGTTGCATGCAAATTCGGGACTGGCCAGGGAAATGAGCAGTGACCGCTTGACCTTGTGGCACTGGGTGGAGGGGCCCAGGCAGGGGACAGGAAGCAGGACTCCCCATCCTGGCTGCATGCTGGCCTCTGGTTGACCTGACCCAGACCCACCTGCTCTGGAGGGGAGAAGACCCCCTGTGCTCTGACACCACCCCCCAGCCCCTCCTGGTAGAAAGGGGAGGGAAGAGAAGCAGAACCCCCCTCCCCCAGCAAGGTTCACAGAGCAGGCCCCATGCCCGTGCTCCCCACGGAGACCCCAGGTCCCCACCTAGTCCCCACCTATTCCCCACACCACCTCCACCAGCCACAGGCCAGCTGTCCACACCCGGCGTCCTCCCCTGCCCTGCAGGTGCCCCCGTCTCATGGTGGAGTGGTGTCTTGCCTCTGGTCCCTCCCACAGGGCCCCGTCCCTTATCCACACCCACCCACCCACTGCCCAGTGTCCAGAACACAGCCCAGTACGGAGGCTTTTTTGAAAAAAATACAGTCTCCTTTTTACTTTTATTTTGCTTACTTATTTATTTTTTTAGATGGAGTCTCGCTCTGTTGTCCAGGCTGGAGTGCAGTGGCGCGATCTTGGCTCGCTGCAACCTCCGCCTCCTGGGCTTGAGCAATGCTCCTGCCTCAGCCTCCCGAGTAGCTGGGATTACAGGTGCCCAGCTAATTTTTGTATTTTTAGTAGGGACGAGGTTTTGTCATGTTGGTCAGGCTGGTCTCAAACTCCTGACCTCAGGTGATCCGCCTGCCTCAGCCTTTCAAAGTGCTGGGATTATAGGCCCGAACCACCGTGCCTTACCTATTTTTATTTTTTAACTTGAGACAGAGTCTTGCTGTGTTGCCCAGGCCAGAGTGCAGTGACACCATCACAGCTCACTGCAGCCTCAACATCCTGGGCTCAAGTGATCCTCCCACCTCAGCCTCCCAAGCGGCTGGGACCACAGGCGCAGGCCACCGCTAATTTTTAAATTGCTTTGTAGAGATGGGGTCTTGCTACATTGCCCAGGCAGGTCTCAAACTCCTGGGCTCAAGCAATCCTCCTGCCTCAGCCTCCCAAAGTGCTGGGATTACAGGCATCAGCCGCCGTACCAGCCTATGGAAGCTTTTAAGTCTTTTGGCTTCTACATGAGTGTTTGGGAAGTGACCATATATGTCCGTGATGTTACTGCCTCTGAAATGGAAGGGATATTCACATGCTACACACACCCCTACTGCCAGACCCTCTCCTCCGTGCCCAAAACCTGGTTCTCAGGCAAGCAGGCCCCTTCACGCCCTAGCCACAACCACCCTTGGCTATATCCAAACCAAGGGCCTCAGGGGACACCCACGTTTATTTGTTTTGGGGAGGGTTTGGTTTTTTTTTGAGATGGAGTCTGGCTTTGTCACCCCGGCTGGAGTGCAGTGATGCAATATCGGCTCACTGTAACCTCTGCCTCCTGGTTCAAGTGATTCTCCTGCCTCGGGCTCCCAAGTAGCTGGGATTACAGGCGACCGCCACCATGCCTGGCTAATTTTGGTATTTTCAGTAGAGATGGGGTTTTACCATGTTGGCCAGGCTGATCTCAAACTCCTGACCCCGTGTGATCCGCCCACCTCTGCCTCCCTAAGGGCTGGAATTATAGGGGTGAGCCACCACACCCAGACTTACACACCCATTATTTAGGGGAAATGCCCTCTCCACTCCTGGGAGGAGGTCACAGCAGCCAGCTCTGTGCTGGGTGACCGGCATGGGCCTGCTCTGACGTGGGGAGGGCCTTTGTTCCTGAAACCTGTTTTCCTACTGTGAATGTAGAGGTGCTCACATGCTGCTTTGGGATGCCACCACTGCCCATGTTCCCCCGTGCCCTCGGGAGCTGGCCACACAGGGACGTGGTGGGGCAGGACGGCTCCTTCCCCTCAGCTGAGGCGGGCCCCATGTGTTGGACCTTGCTTATGATGCTGGCGTGTGATATTACTGTGGACCAGCCGGGCAAACTGAGGCTCAAACGGGTGAAGAAACCAGCCCATGTGGGAGGCTGAGGCAGGAGAATCACTTGAACCCAGGAGCTGGAGGTTGCAGTGACTGAGTTTGTGCCACTGCACTCCAGCCTGGGCAACAGAGCGAGACTCCATCTCAAAAAAAAAAAAAAAAACCAACCCGTGGCTGTGTCCGGAGATGGCAGAGGCCCCCATGGGCTGCCCTCTTCAATGGAAGTTCAGTGGATAGTGGGAGTTAGAGAAACAGCTGGGAGGCCGGGCGCGGGGGCTCACCCCTGTAATCCCAGCACTTCGGGAGGCCGAGGCTGGCAGATCACAAGGCCAGGAGTTTGAGACCAGCCTGACTAGCATGGTGAAACCCCGTCTCTACTAAAAAAGAAAAACAAAAATTAGCTGGGCGTGGTGGCACATGCCTGTAATCCCAGCTGCTCTGGAGGCTGAGGCAGGAGAATCACTTGAATCCGGGAGGCAGAGGTTGCAGTGAGCCAAGATGGTGCCATTGCACTCCAGCCTGGGTGACAGAGTGAGACTCATCTCAAAAAAAAAAAAAAAAAAAAAAAGAGCTGGGAGGGGCCTTGTCCCAGGGCGCCTGGGACCTCCCAGGCAGGCAGGGGTTGCTGTACCCCCCAAAAGGACAGCAACCGCTCTTCTGTCCCCACCAGGTCATGGAGCTGCTGGTGGAGAAGTCCATGAGCACTGCGGCTGGGCCCCTGGGCCCCGGGGACGCAGTGAGGCGGGTCCTGGAGTGTGTGGCCACAGGGACGCTCCTGCCAGGTCAGTTGTTGGGATGGAGGGCCCAGAAGGTGGGCAGCAAATCACAGAGACCAGGGCACGCAGCCGTGGCACAGAGAGCTGGGGTCACAGACACAGAGGAAGCCTGCAGCCCAGGCAGGAGGGTGGCCCACGACACACATGTGCTCCCAGCAGGGGGGCAGGCAGGCTGCAGCCATGGAGGGCACTGCCCTGCACGCAGGACACAGACACACAGGTCCCCAGGAGGGAGGGCTCAGCCCCCACCCAGAAGCCAGCAGTTATGTTCTCTTGTGGCCACACCCCCCAGCGGCGGTGGCACAGAGCCACCCTCTCACAGCCACCCCGGCACAGAGCCACCCTGATGCCCGTCCTCCAGAGATTCTCCAGAGGGAACAGCCAGTACCTGAGGAGGATGGGGGCACAGCTGCGTGGCTCAGTGCATTCTACACCAGCACGGGAGAGAACGTGCCAGGATACACTCGTGTGAGGGGGTGGCGGTCAGATACGGAAAAGGTGTTTCTGAGTCATTTTCAGTGACAGGATGATACCAAGTGAAAAGGAAGAGTAAAGCCCTGGGCCATGGCCTGAGCCGTTACGTAAAGCACGCGTGTGGGCATGCACAGGCACAGGCGCACACACGGTCACGAGGGCACACGGGCACACGGACGTGCATGCACACGCATGGGAACACACAGTGCACACACAGGCACACGTGGGCACATGGACATGCACATGGGCACACAGGCGTGCACATGGGAACAGATACCTGCAGGTGTATGTGCACATGTACGAACATGCAGGCACATAGGCATGGGTACAGACATGCATACACATGCCTGTGCATAAGGACATGCATGGGCACAGGCACACAACATGCATGGGGACATGGGCACACATACATAGACACACATGCATGCACACAGGCACGGGCACGTATGTGCACAGGCACACAAACGTGCAGATGGCCCACATGGACATGCATGCACACATGGGCACACATGCACACACACAGACGCACGTGCACACGCACACAGGTACACATGAACACATGCACAGACACAGGCACACATGCACACAGGCACACACATGCACACACAGGCACATATGGACATGCACACAGCCACACACATGCACGTACACACACACAGGCACACATGAACACATGCAGACACATGCACACACAGGCACACACACGGACATGCATGCACACATGCACACGGGTATACACATGCACACAGACACATGCACACAAACATGCACATACAGGCACACATGCACACAGACACAGGCAGACAGGCACACAAACATGCATGTGCACACGGGCACCCATGGACACATGAGCATACCCATGCACACGCATGGGTGCACACAGGCACGCACACACAAAGCCCGGGAGGTGCTGGCAGCCCAGTGGGCCTTGAGGGGCTGGGAGGACTCCCCCATGGGCCCGGGTGAGCTCCTGCACCTGCTGAGTGAGGCCTGAGGGTTAGCTGCACCGTGGCTGCAGGTATGGCCCATGCACGGGCCCCTGAGGCCCCGTGGTGTTGTGGGAGGGGCTTGTCACCGACTTTCATGAGGGCGTCTCACCTTCTTTGCTGCTCTCGCTCCCGCTCCTCTTCACAAAGACGGCCCCGGGTTCCAGGATCCCTGCGAGAGAGACCAGACAGACGCCCTCGAGCCCATGACCCCCCAGGAGCGGGAGGACGTGACCGCCAGCGCCCAGGTAGGAGGGCTGGGCCCCTCGGCTGCCGAATCCACGGCAGGGGTCCCAGCTCCATCATACAGCCGTGCAGCGTTCCCCGAAGTAGCCCAGGTTCCCCTTCACTTCCTCTCACAGAGGTGTACAGGAACAGCAGGACAGCCTGTGGGTGGCAGGACTGCACCTGGGGACAGGGCTGGCCTGGCGTGCTGGCATGGGGCTGGCAGCTCAGAGCCAAGGCCACCACCATAACCAGGCCCAGACCTCAAGTTTCACTGGCGGGGACCGTCCTCCGGCCACGCTCCTGACCACGATCCTAAAAGCCCAGCCGTGGCCAGCAGCTTGGCCTGGCCAGCCCTCACCTGTGGTTTCCTTGTTTCCACATGTGATTGCAAAAAGTCTCCCAGCAGCACAAAACCCAAACCGCACTGGGTCTGACGTTTATGCGTTGCCTTTAAAACGGGATCAGTGGCATCGCTCGCAGCGCAGGATGTGGGGTCCCGCCGGTGAGGCGGAAAGAGCTGGTGGTCAGTGGAGCGGGGGCTTCCTGGGACAGTCCTGGCGCTCAGCCAGCAGCAAGCGAAAATTCCTCAGGCTCTGCGGTGACCAAAACTCAGCAGTTGTGCAGGAAGCGGCGTCTTGGCTGGGTGTGGTGGCTCAGGCCTGTCATTCCAGCCCTTTGGGAGGCCGAGGCGGGCGGATCACCTGAGGTTAGGAGTCTGAGACCAGTCTGGCCAGCATGGTGAAACCATATCTCTACTAAAAATACAAAAATTAGCTGGGCGTGGTGGTGGGTGCCTGTAATCCCAGCTACTCGGGAAGCTGAGGCAGGAGAATCATTTGAACCCGGGAGGCGGAGGTTGTGACGAGCTGAGATCGTGCCACTGCCACTCCAGCCTGGGCGACAGAGCAAGACTCCATCTCAAAAAAAAAGGGGGAGAGTGTCTCGAGGGACACAGGGTAGGCCTGGCCCGTCCGCTAGTGGCCACAGACGCCAGCCCGTGTCCCTAGCACCCGGGGAGCAGGGCAGCGGGGGTCCTGACGGGTGGTGTGTGCCCCGCAGCACGCCCTGCGAATGCTGGCCTTCCGGCAGACACACAAAGTCCTGGGCATGGATCTCCTGCCGCCCAGACCCCGGCTCGGGGCCCGCTTCTGGAAGAGGCAGCGGGGCCCAGGCGAGGCCGAGAAGGGCGCAGGGGAGAGGAAGAGGGGCCGGAGGGACAGAGAGGGCAGAGAGGGGCTCATATGAGCCGCCTGCCCCCGCTACCTGCCGGCCTTCGCACCCCTGCACTCCTGGACACGTGGACGCCGACCAACGGCTGTTTCATCCCCGACGTTGGACAACCGTAGTTCCTTTGAGTAATACTCCATTGGCTTCTTTTAAAACGTGTGCTTCAGGCCGGGCGCCGTGGTGCATGCATTTAATCCCAGGACTTTCGGAGGCTGAGTTGCTTGAATCCGAGAGTTCAAGGCCAGCCTGGGCAGCAGAGTGAGACCCCCATCTCTCCAAAATATTTTTAAAAGCTTGGCGTGGTGGCTGGCCGGGCGTGGTGACTCAGGCCTGCAATCCCAGCCCTTTGGGAGGCCGAGGTGTGCAGATCACCTGAGGTCAGGAGTTCGAGACCAGCCTGCTAACATGGTGAACACCTGTCTCTAGTAAAAACACAAAAATTATCCTGACACGGTGGTGTGCACCTGTAGTCCCAGCTACTCGGGAGGCTGAGTCTGGAGGATTCCTGGAGGCTAGGAGGGCAGTGAACTCCGCACCACTGCACTGCAGCCTGGGCAACAGAAAACCGTCTCTTAAAGGAATTTTTTTTTTTTTTAACATTTGTGCTTAAATTGTTAGAGAGATGGCACCCCCTTCCTGGAGGGCCCTGTCCCCCACAGCCACGTGGGCCAGCAGTACAGCAAGCAGATTCTAAACTCCAGGGTTTCTTGCTGGCTGTGAACTCACCTGCGGTGCAGGAAGTGGTGGATGTAAATGCGTCCTTTGAACCAGGCACAGTGGCTCATGCCTATAATCCCAGCACTTGGGGGGCCGAGGTTGGTGGATCGCTTGAGCCGAGGAGTTTGAGATCAGCCTGAGCAATATGGTGACACCCCATCTCTACAAAAAATGAGCCGGGTGTGGTGGCCCGAGCCTGCAGTCCCAGCTACTCAGGAGGCTGAGGCCGTAGAGTCCCTTGAGCCGAGGAGGTCAGGGCTGCAATGAGCTGAGATGCCGCTACTGAACTCCAGCCTGGGTGACAGAGCAAGACCCTGTCTCAAAAAGAAAACAAAACTTTCTTTGGATGCCCTGTGGTGTGGATTTGAAATCACGTGGGGGGGTCGTGTTCTGGGGCCCCACCGTGTGTGTGGACAAGCCCAGGGGAGCGCCTGGCTGGCATCCTTGGGACCCCAGCCCTCACAGACACCCTGCCCGGCTTGGCAGCTGGGACGTCAGCAGGGCCTGAGCCAGGCTCATCCCTTGTGGGGAGGGCCACGGGGCCAGGTGAACACCCCAACAGGCGATGAGTGTGCTGGCTGGGCCTTCTCCGGGAACAGATGTGCCCGACAGACCTGGGGCCCAGACACATCCCCACCCCCCCAGCCCTGTACCACTGAGTGCCTTTCACAGAGAAAACCCTCTCTGACATGTGTCACTGACACCTGGAATTCCGCTTTCGTCTTTCCTCCCTCCTTCCCTGATGTAGGCAGCGGCTGGCCCTGAGGCAGGGGGTCCCCAAATCACCTCCTTGTGGAAGCAGGGCCTGGGACCCGTGCCTGGGGAACCTGGGGAGGTGCGTCTATCCTGTGGATGCTGGCCATGGTGGGCAAGTACCTCCTGGCACTGATGTATGTGGGGGCACCCCCTTCTGAGCCCCCCCACCCCAACCTGTTCAGACCTGCCACTTGATCAGGTGTTTTTTTGGCCGGCTGCCCAACGGCATTGGACGAGGAGAGTCTTGGGCAGAGGTGATCTCTGGCCGCCGGTTCGGTTTCGCTTCTCTGTGTTTGAAGGGACAGCCTGCGCGTGGCCCGCTGTGTGCACGTCTTTGTGGAGCTGCCTGGAAACTGGCAGGTGGGCGAATAAAGGAAACCACCTGTCTGCCCTGTGAGCCGTGCCGTCCTTCCAGCGGTGTGTAAGGTCACTACCACATGTGGTGAAGACCCCCAACGCTGGGCTCTTCACCTCCTTCTTGGGGTCCCCAGTGGCGGTCTCCCAGAAACTCTGCAGCCCAAATGGGGGCTGGGAGGGCCCCCAAGGGGTTGGCACTGCTCAGTGGCTGCTCCCCAAGGCATGGGCACCTTCAGGATGGCCCCTCACGAGGGTCCCCTGGTAACACAGACACACGCGTCTCAGTGTCTCCCATAACCAGTTCTCTGCCTCAGTCCTCAAGGGTTCCCCCAGCCCCGATCTAGAGACACACAGCAAGATGCTCTGGAGGCTCCCCGCGGGCTTCCTGGAGGAGGAGGCAAGTACGCTGAGTTTGGAAGAGATGCGTCTGCCCAGAGTGCTTTCCCCGCCGCATCCCCAGACCCTCAGAAGGCGGGCGGAGGGTGTTGAGATGTTGGGACCTGGTCACAGTGGAGGAGTTCTGTGACAGCTTCCAGCCCTCAGGGCTTCCCTGGCAGTGTTTTCGGGGGCAGGCGGGGAGCAGAGTGGGGAGGAGGCAGATGCAGGGCGCGGGGCGGCGGGACGGGAGTGGCAGGGGCTGGGCGTGGAGGGACCGCTGTTTCAGGCCCAGGCCAAAGGAAGGGGATGGGGAGCCAGCGATGGGTTCCCTTCTAGCAGGGACTATCTGTCAGCAACAGGAATCGTTGGTTTAGCCTCCCTGGCCTGTCAGCCACCGGCCTTCTCCGTCTCACACCCTCTCTCCTGCTTTCTGCTCTATTCCAAATTTCTTGGGGACTTCACCTCCCTTCCTACACACTCTGCCCCCACACAGCCCCTCTCTGTCAGCTTCGCGGCAAACAGCACCGCCATTTGCCCAGGGCCCAAGATGACAGCCGCCACTGCCAGGGAGCCCTCCTGGATTCCTCTGTGCTCCCGGCCAATCCACGAGGATATCTTGTCAATTCCAGTTCCACTTCCTTTTCGTTTTTGTTTCTGAGACAGGATCTCACTCTGTCGCCCAGGCCGGAGTGCAGCGGCTCGATCTCAGCTCACTGCAAACTGCGCCTCTAGGGTTCCAGCGATCCTCCCACCTCAAGCCTTCCTAGTAGCTGGGACTACAGGCCTGCGTCACCAGGCCCGGCTAATTTTTTGTTTTTCTAGTAGAGACGGGGTTTTGCCGTATTGCCCAGGCTGGTCTCAAACTCCTGACCTCAGGTGACCCGCCTGAGCCACCACGCCCAGCCTATTCCTTCACTTTTTTCTTTTCAATTTTTTTTTTTTTTTGAGAAGAGTCTTGTTCTGTGGCCCAGGCTGGAGTGCAATGGCACGATCTGGGCTCACTGCAACCTCCGCCTCCCAGGTTCAAGCGACTCTCCTGCCTCAGCCTCCTGAGTAGCCGGGACTACAGGCGCCCACCACCATGCCCGGCTAGTTTTGTGTATTTTTAGTAGAGACGGGGTTTCACGGCATTAGACAGGCTGGTCTCAATCTCCTGACCTCGTGATCTGCCCGCCTCAGCCTCCCAAAGTGCTGGGATTAGAGGCGTGAGCCACCGCGCCCGGTCTGTTCCTTGACTTGAACTCTGCAACTCTGAGACGATTCAGTATCTGTCTTGCCCTTGAGAACGTGAACTTTCCTCGGGCAGGAAGCCCGGCGTCACCAATGCAGTCACCACTGTATGCCCAGATCTTGGGCAGGTCAGGTGGACCCCAGCAGACCTAGCACTTTGCGAGGCTGAGGCCAGCGGACCAATAGAAGTCAGGAGTTTGAGACCAGCCTGGCCCACATGGTGAAACTCCGTCTCTACTAAAAATACAAAAGTTAGCTGGGCATGGTGGCCGGCGCCTGTAATCTCAACTACTTGGGAGGCTAAGGCAGGAGAACACTTGAACCCAGGAGGCGGTGGTTGCAGTGAGCCGACATT